CCTTCCAAACTGAAGACAACTACAATCTGTCCCCTGTCCAGCTCCCTGGTTTTGCTGGTTTCGGGACTGCCTCTTTGCCTCAGCCTGCTGGACAAGGGTCTCTTCAAATTGGGGGAGGCCACGATGCACCGCTACTTGCAAATTCAATATTTCATCCTCTATTTCATTTTATTCCATATGTCCAAAGAAATGGACTTGATTCACAAAAGCTCATCACATTAAAATATAAGACTTAGTCTTTAAGGTGGTACATGTTTTGGTCTCTCTCTTTTTGTTTTCTTTTCATTTTATTCCTTTAGATTTTGCCTGATATCTTTAAGCCAAGGTGACGATTCACCAGGGGACGTAAAAGATGGCAGAGCAGAGGTGCCTAAGAGGATGGTCAGTGTGGCCTGGAGAATGTGGAAAGGGAAGCACCCCTCTTTCCATCTCTCATAAACTGAGAAATTTGACACACACACCCCACAAGGGTACTTTTGTGACCTCATAAGCCATCTCAGAGCTCCACACGCAAAACTTTTATTCAAAATTGCTGGTCAAAAAAATCAATGCCTATTTTCTGTTTCTGGGAGACTCAAGAAGTGTCAATTTTCATTCTAGGGCCCTGAAAGTTCCCCCAAAATTCTCCATGCCTTTTTAAAAAAATCTTCCAAGGTGTCCACTCAGCAACTTCCTGGGTTTGTTTTCCATGATCATTTTTGGCCATTTTGAGCCTTGTGAAACCTTGTCAGGGCCCGGGGCTGGGGGAGAGGCAATGGGGTTCCCGCCTTGATTTAACCTCAGATGTCATTCAGAAGTCTGGTACCCCTGATATCAAGGCCATGAGTATCACTGGCCTTATCCCTGCCCTGCTCCGTCTCTTAGAAGAATGGAAAGGGACTCCTTGCAGCTAGTCAGCAGAAACCAAGATATTTATTGAAAAGAAACCGAAGAGAAGGGAAACTGTAGGGATCTACTTAGAAGAACACAGGGAAAACTTTATGTAAGGGCTTCTCTCTGTGCTGGTCTCTCCTCCCTTCTGGTCCCAGAGACCTCTGTGCATCCTCCAGCTCAAACGCAGGCCACGAGGGCACCCTAAGCAAGGGAAGAAAGAGAGATGGCTTTTAAGTATTCTGTTTCATCACGTCTTCCAGCACAAGCGACCAAGGAGGAAAGAAGCAGGAAAATGGGGCTGCTGTTCCCATGAACCTGTGTCTCTCTTGCCACCCACCTCTTCCCAGACAGCTGGATTGCCAGGGGAAGATCTGGGCTCCCCATCTGGACCCTGTCTGCACAAACCTTCCTTCATCGTGTCAAAATAACCAGAATTTAAATAAGTCCTGTCATGCTGAGCCGTTCTGAATATTCCTCGGAATCAGGCAGAGAAATTGGGTGAGAAAACCTGCTCAGTGTTTCCATGCTTTTCTCTCTAAAGAGACGTTTGCTTCTTCCCCTGGTGGAAACCGCTGCTTGGATGAGTTTTCCGTGGGATTCCCCCTTTCCCAACATTTCCCCACTTAAGATTACTTAAGGGAGACTTTTGGAACTCCCATCTGAGGGGTGGCTCCTTCTCATCGGAGAAAGGG